CAGACAACAGCACGCACTTCGCAAAGCCAGACTACAGGCTGAAATATGCTTTTACGTGGAAGCCCGGATTTTTTGAAATACTAAACGCATTTGGTATACTCGAATTTTTAAAATAAATATGTCGCCTGGTTTCACATACTTGACATAGTTGATAAAAGTTTTTTCTTCGAACATCAATTACGTTCATCGGTGAGCTTGCCAAACTTAAAGGCAGTGATTACGATAAAGAAATAGCGCATCGGGAAGCATATGCACCACACGAATCAGTTACTTGGCTGCCAGGGAAGCGAGGTGTGGCGCTTTCACGACGAAAGGTGCGCTGGTTGCTGAGCAGGACTTCGATCCGCCCCCAAAAGCGATCCGCCCACTAGTTTACTTGGTGATTTGGACGAGCTGCGTTGCCAGCAGCGGCACAACTGAAGCAACTCGACTGGAGCATGGCATGCTGTCACCAAACGCGTTGCGATGAACTCGTTCATACGTCCGCTTTCTGAGCTGTTACCTGTTCATGAGTGAAAACCAACGGCCAAAAAAGGGGTCCCGTTTTGCGTTTTCTTGACGGATTTCTCCGCTTTTTTCGCTACTGGCGTACCACTGAGCACCACCAGTTCTCTACAAACCCTTCTTATACCTATCGTAATCACAGCCTAAAAAGAGTGGGGCACCCTGACTTCCTGAAGAGAGCAACTTCAGAAGGGGTGGTCTCGACAGCTACACCCTTGCTTTCGCAAGCTGTAACCTATCAAGAACATCCCAAGTGAATTGTTGAGTTTGCTACATCCGTTAATTCAACTACGATCAGAGGATAATGGGACTACTCCCTTTGAATCGGAAGATTTCCCTTATTCCGATTGTCGATAGTCGACGAGTTCAAAATTTGACCTTACATTCCACCACTGTAACATTTGCCACGATTTGCTAGGTACCGATATCAAAGCTGCTCTCCAGAATCGAAGCGTTGAAAGTGAAAAAAAGACTTGAAACCCTGAAAAATAGTGGTCGCTTCAGGCCCGAAGCCATTCTAGTTGTGATACAGATAACGACACAAGAAGTACTAAGCATAGCAGGCATTCTTAGTTGATTGATGTCAAAATATAACGGAACAAGACAGATCTAAGCAATTGGCGGAAAGGGATAGACATGTGGCGGGAGCATGGATTCAGAGAGCGAGCAAAATCGGCCGTTATTTCGACAGCTGGACTGGCTTGATGGCCGGAACCCGTGTTTAAAAACAACATCCCCGCAGAAAGTACGAAACTGCTCGACATGTGCGCGACAATGGCGCTAGGGTCTTACAAAGTCAGCATTTGTCGACTAATCTTAGCATTTGGACGAGTTACGTGGCGCACACCCATTACACGCAACATGTCTTACGGCGTAACGGCTATCCAAATACGCGCGGGTTGGTGAGGCGTGGAGCAGTCAAGCGCACAGGGCCCCGCCGGCACTTGATCCATGCCTGCCAGCCCTCCTTTCAGGACTTCACTCCGCTGGCCCAATACTTATCGTTAGTAGTGCCCTCAATGCTGAGAAAAAAAATCGGAATATGCCCGTTTGCCAAAATGTTACCTCAACTGAATGCATTCAGCCGCCTGGTCTGGTTTTGCTGTTGCAGAATTTCGCCCATTTCGAGCTCAGAGTTCCTCTCCTCTCCGAGTATTTAACCAAGCATAGTAAGCTCTTCATCATGCAACCATTTCGTTGCACAAAAATCAAATTCTCGAGCTCTACAATAGAGATTTCTTCACAAATGATGGTGATGATGGAAGAGCCCTGAACGCAGTGTTTCCAATCGACCATTAGTTATACGTTGGTCTAGACATTGTTCCTGAACGCCGTCTATCAAAATGAGCACAAAATCCCACATTTCCTATGTGTGCGAAACCTTGTGTGTACCATATTTACCATTGACGGCAACTCTACTGATAAGAAATTCAATGGACGTCATGGCACTCTCGTGCAACGACGAAGGTACCAATGTGCTGAACAATGAGGGGTGACGAATTCGATGAGATGTTGGAAGCATTATGCCGGATAAGATGTTTTCCTGAGAGGAAGCGAAAAAATCCGCTATTGGCTACCCAGCTACACTGGGTGCTCATGTCCTTGGGGGAGGGGAGAGGGCGACATTCAAAACAGGGCCGATGGAAAGTGCGATTAGGGTAACTAAGTCCTATCAAAGAGGAGAGAACGTCAGAGTGAGCACAAATTGCTCATATGCTCCCTCAGGGTCCCTTTCCCTTCCTAAGGCTCAGTCCAAGCACAGTAATTGGCTCACCCTCTTGGATGCCCCCCCCAAAGACATGAGCACCCTACACTGAGAACTTTAAGTCGTCCCTAAGTAACATTGTATTCGTGCTTGACTGTCTAAAGCGTCTCGACGGGATGACCAGGGGGCTTTGCTTCAGTCATGCTGCAGGCAGGCAATCGTATCTACGGGGCATTGAAGATAAGTTGTTGGTCTGTTAGCGAAGCAAGTCGGAAAACCCCGCATGCGTCTTCGTTATAAATCTCCTGGTCGGTCCGAGACCGCTAGAGCGTAACGTTACGCGGCCTCACTTCCGTGCACACGTCATTTTTGGATTTTGGTTTTGCCAGCTTATCGACGCGCGGGGCAGACATTGTTAAATAAGTATTTTTACTTCTCTCCTTGTATTAGGTGGCGGGTTGGAGACATTGGTCTTAAAATGTCGGGACAGCGCGGCCCCTGCGTTGCATCGCTACGGCGCCTTCCAAGAGCGCTGCTCCAAAGAGTTCCTCGCTCATTGTTCTCGCTAAAATTTACGCATTCAACATAATGAGCTACAGCGGGGCCTCGTCATCCTGAATCACACCTTGCCGAGCATGTGTGACATAGTGGCGCGGCAAGCGCGTCACTGGTCTTCACAATTGCCATCTGTCCCTTCCGCACATGAGCAACTTCTTCCCAGTTCCCTTTGTATTTACCGTTAGTTATATTGTTCACGTTGCCGTCGCTACCGCAATCCTTTTGTTATGAATGACAGCCGTGTGTGTCCTCACATGAATCGGCGGGGCGGGGGAGGGGGGTGGGGGAGGAGAGGAAAGGGAAAACACGTGATTGACTCGACCCAATAAGACCTCGGAATGGCCTGCAGAGAGGCCTGCAGAGAGAAGGGCTCCCACCTACTATATACAATTCGCTAAGTATCTGTGCATGTGTGTGTGACGAAATTCGCAGCGCGTGTTCCAGCATACTTGGAGTTTTATTTCAGGATTTATTGATAAGAGGGCGGGAAGGCACACTTCTGGGTGAGTGGATACAGCTAAAGTGATGACTTACTGCATGAATCGGGATAAGAGAGCTAGAACGCGGAGGTCACGAAATGCATGGCGCGCGACCCAGTAGCAGTGAGGCGTTGTCTTCCGAATATGATGTAGCGGGTGGGACGGAACATATTACTTGATGGGGACCAGAAAGTGATAACAGCTGATAGGGGCTGATAAGAAGCGTTGGAAGGCAAATGTCACGACATTGACAGCGCAAGGCCCAGCAGCATTGAGGCGTTGTTTTGCAGATATGATATAGGGGTGGGACGGGAACATATTTGATGGGGACCAGAAAGTGATAACGGCTGATAGGGGCTGATAAGGAGCGTTGGAAGCAAATGTCACTGAAGTTCTTATCCAGATGTGGGATAAGAAACATCTCATTTCTTCGCGATGTCGTCGTGATCCATTCGACCGCTAATCTGCCCGAGCTTTTTAAATGGTCGGCGTCTGTGGAAATACGATAACTATTGGTATTTCTATCTCATCACCGGCATAAGAAGTTATTCGACCGCTAAACCATCCCAATATCCAAAGCATGTTTACGCTGAGGGCTGATAATAAGCAGCCCAAGTAATTGTATTAGTTATCCAAAGCTCATTCGGCTGCTAGACTTTGTTAGTTCCAGAAAAATGATGGATGTTTATTGGTATTGATGAACTATGAGAAATTACTGCTTTATCATCTGCTTTCCTTAATACCATCAGTAAATCCATTGAAAGCAGTATGTTACTCAATACAATAGCCCGGCTATACTCAGTTTCACTGAAGCCTATGTTGACATGCGCGCGATAGCGGGTGGATCCGCGCGCACCACACGGCGGGCTTCAGTAAAACTGGACCACCCGTTGAGCGTCCGGTCACTCGCTAATGCATTCAGTAGTAAGGTGCTTTGGTGAAATGCGTACCTTCCACAGGTTCAGCAGTCGCTATAGTCTGCGGAGTGGCGTACCCTGCGAAGCTAAACTGGTTCAGTAAAAAGTTATCAGTGAGAAAAAAATATGGAGAGAAGCAGGTTCACAAGTTTCTGATTGTTGAATTGTTTAGTCTTCTACATATCCACTCCTTTCGATGATTCGGGAAACAGAACTCCTCCTGATACTTTTCCATTGCTACCACATATACTTACAATTTGTTGATTATCCTCTTATAATTCTCCCTTTCCAGCCACATGCGATTCACACTAGCACTGCTGGCCTTAGTCGGCTGTGCGATGGCCGCCGTCCATCAGATGCAACTGACGAAAATCGAGTCACAACGCACTAAAATGATGCGCCAGGGCACATGGTCCCGCTACATCAAGATGAAGAATACTCGACGAATCGCCATGGAACACAAAATGGGAAGCTTCGCCAACGTTGTGCCTCAAAGCGTGAGTACACGACGTCTTTGAACACCGTACCACGCTCCAAACGTTATTGGCATACAATGCTGCTCACCTACCAAAGGCAGCGACACACACGACAAATTCTTCAGGGGGACGTGGGGTGCTCAATTTAATGTGCTCCAATGGGTGAAAATAGCGAGCCCTTAAAGCAGGAATTTGAAATGGGAACCCTTGTTTAGCCGTTAATTTTTGCTCAAGGACGGGCACCAGCTACGACGGCGGGCACATGGACGAGCTCACCTCCACGATGGCACCATGTTAATCCATGCTCCACTCCAGTTGCTTCAGTTGTGGTGCTGCTGGCAACGCAGCTTGTCCAAATCGTCAACTAAATAGGGTGGAGCGTTTAAGGGGCGTGGCGATTTTCAAGTAGTGCTCAGCAGCCAGCGCACCTTTTGTCGGAAAAAAGCCACAACTCGCTTTCTTAGCATCAAACTACTACTTCATGTAGAATCTATACTTCCCCAATACGCTCCTTTTTTCTCGTGATCCTTTCCTTTGAAAACTACTGAAAATAAGCAATAAATACGTTTAATTAAGTACAATAGTTGCATGATTCCTCAGGGGAGGTGAAACTTTTGCACGCGATCAAAAATTGTATTAGCACAATAACAGGCTGATCTAGGAACTTTCTCGTCTGTGGTTTGAAGCTCTCGCAGTAGGCGGTAGCTAGTAGGAAGCAAAGGTGTACTTTCATGTTGTAAGAAAAGTATGGGAACACCAGATTTGAAATTTGCTTTTTACTCTTTATTGTTCAAAAACCTAGACGGATCTGATTATGTACATTAGGTAACAATTTGATGTCGCTAAAGATTTTTAGATAAATGAAGAATAAATAAAATGGGTCTCATCCAGTAAGGGGGCATGTGCTGCGACAGTTCATATTGCATGAAGTAATCCACTTTTTTCAGGGGAGGGAAGCTCCGGGGTGGGTGTAAAAGTTCAAGCGAAATGGTTCACGCACCCCGGGGATTCCCTCCCCTTGCAAAAATTGGAATTTCTGTAGCCGGCAAGAACTGTCACACCACATGCCTCTTACTGGATGAGACCGAATAAAATGAATCTTAAATTGGGTGGTGGGTTGTTTCGAAACTTTTCTTACACTCTAATAAACTGGGGCTGACCACGTGTGAAAGAAGTGGACGCTAATCAAAAGCTCACTGAAGAAAGTTTTTTGTGTCCACTCAAGTGCATAGAGACCTAATAGGAAGAAGTAGGCCGAATCGGGTATGCGCAAATTAGGCGAAAGTTACCAGGTAATGGGAAAACTGGTCAATGTGGGACTTTGATGGAAGCTGTCATTGAAGTAGATACTCTTAGGTCTGGTTCAGTGCAAAAGGCCGGTACGTAGCTACAGTACTACATGCTACATGCTGACCTTCTGCACTGTGCTATTCGGATTAAAATGTGACAGAATGACTAACGGGAAGAAATGAGGATGGCTCACACGAACAATTGTTCGAAATACACAGATTTGTATTGGGGCTTCAAGACATTCACTGGAATTGTAATTCCTATGCAAGTATGCCTGAATGGAACGGGAGCGAAAATTAGATTTTTGGCACTTTACCACGTTTTTCTTGTCATTTGCTTTCTTTATTTTTTTTTTGGGGATTTGTTGTCGGAATTTGTCTCACTACTGCAATCCCTTTTGTTGCGCGCGCGCGGCTTCTTTCCATTTGATCATTACGTAGATCATCCATTCACCTAACTATAAACGTCGTGGTTCATAAAATGGTTAGATATGCTCGAACAGAGCTGCTGAACCTGTCTGTTTTGGGCAGAGTTGAGGGGAGGCTAGAATCAGCGACGCTGCGCGCACACCCTCTAGGAAGCTAGTGCGAAGGCGCACATTCCAGTTCTCACCCATTTCAAGTGGCGTTCCCTACTCTCAAATTCTCCAAACTCACAACATTCCCGTTGGTTTATGGCCCTTCATTTTGCGATAATGTTATCATTATCCCGCTTAAAGGGTGTATCGCGTTGTCGACTGATCCCCCTCCATACTTCCATTGTACTCTTGTTTCACTGCATTCAGTACAGTTTTCAGGCGGTTGCGCCTCTCAGAGATCGCGCTCGCCAGATGTCCCACGTGACCAAAAAAGCCAAAACGCGCGCTCTCGCCAATGTGTAAGGAGGATTTCTCCAAAAAGAGGGTAGTTTTGCACGTGAGTTAAAATAAGAATCCGCGCTGACCGAGCGCGTCAAGCGAATGTAAGATTTGGGCTCATAAGGTCAGGAAATCCTCACAGTTGTGGATTTGATGGTTCGTAATGCCTTGGCGCTTGCGCCTGTAAAGTGGACACCAGACGCTCATCAATTAGGTGCTTCGTGCATTGATATTCCATGTGCCAAATTGCCACCATAGCTAGTTCCTGGACGAACCTTTGGACAAACTTTTAGAAAAACCCAGCGTGTTTTTCATATTGTGGGACAGCTAATTCCTGTATGTAATGTAATTCTTTACTGTGCTGTCTATGCGAAATTTAAGGTGAACGACTATGAAGACGAGGAATATATTGGGAACATTACGATCGGAACACCGGAACAGCAATTCCAGGTGACTTCCAGACGAATTCCTGAAAATTCGTGACTTCAAGTAACAATTTCCCAATTCAAGGTAATCCTCGATACTGGCTCATCGAATTTGTGGATTCCTGACAGCACCTGCGGACAAGTTCATGAAAACTGCAAGGACCAGAATTGCATAGGAAGTGAGTTTTGGCCCTTTTGCGGGTGCAAACATTTAAACAGGATCGACTCATCTTCGGCTCCATAAATACTCCAAAAAAGGTCTCTAAGCCTACTAATCTGAGACTGAAAATTGTCATAATCTCATTTCTGAAGTCACAACAAATGTGAAAACTCTGTAGTCTCAAATCTCTCAGTGATTGGAACGGATCCATTTCTCGTTTGCCGCAGTAAGGCATTTGAGGTGCAATGAGATCTGAGGGGCAACCTATTAGTCTACTAGGAAAAGCCAGTGTTCTTGCCAGGCATAATATACAGGGGGGGGCAAAAAAAAAGACATTTTGCCTCCACTTCCAGATGGATTTAAGCACATTTTACTCAACTCAGACCGAACGGTTCCAACTTATTATTAAAGAGTGCATTCCATTCTATAAGAAAATCTTCATAGTGGCCACGTACGTGGACGGCATCAGAAGAATTAGCCCTGGAAACATGGTGCACTGGTCGATCTCAATGGGGTCTTCGAAGGATCGTGTACCATAACGACCCTTACTGGAAAGCTAGTTCCGAGGGGATTTGCACAGTGGTAGCTAATGCCTCTAGAAAACTATCCAACATTAAATCGATTCACGAAATTGCGTAAGAGCTTCAGGCTGAAGCTCTTACGGTAGACCTCCTTGAGCCTGACGACGGTGACAGATGACGTCATATTCTGAAGACGGTGAGGGCAGTGAAGGAGAGCCTGCGTACACTAATAGAGGAACACTTAGGGAATACTCTGCTGAGGAACTCCCGTCAACGACAGCAATCTCTGCGAAGAAAAAAGAGCCGAAGTCCGACATAGGCAAAATGTCTTTTTTTTTGGCCCCCCCTGTATATATAAATTATAATACTAGCGTTTTGCTGCTCTAATCTGTGTCTCAGGTTATCTAGACGTGCAACCGTCCTTAATCTGTTACTTAACGGATCCTTCACTTTTCGAACTCGATCTGACATAATAGGGAAGCGGTCAATTCAATTATCATCAGTCAATCGGGACTAGCGCCGGCGACCTGTGCGATAAATGGCACGGGCTCGTCTAACGGTCTTGGGTGACATGGTATCTAGGTTTGTGCCAGAGTCCGCGATACATCGCGCTATTCGCGCGAATCGCACCAACAGCGTGACGGACCGCTAGCTCTGACACCAGCCTAACTTCGTTTCTGCTCCAGCGCTTCAATTATTCAGTGTTTCACTAACACTATCAGGCAGAGAGGTCATTATATGGCTATAAACAATCGCAATTTCCGACTTAAGTAGAGCAGACACATAAGAGAAATACAGCGAGTATTGATGGTACTTTACTAGGCATTTTTGTGGAAAATTTTTCTTGATTGCTGTATTGTCGTATACCGTTGAGAAGCCCATTCCATTCTCTTCGTGCTGATACCTTGTTTCGAAAGTACTCGTGCCTTCGCTTTTTTAGAGGTTTGAATCAAAGCCGTGAAAGCACGAGTTTGAACAAGTTCACTTGTACGAGTCGAAATTTGGAAGCTCCGAGTAGGATCGTTGTGTGGAGCTAAGGATGTGTCATCTGCATACTGCATCAATAGAAACGATCCAACTCGACATATGCCTGCTCAAGGTCGTGCTGCTCGCCATAAAAATCATTCGGGAAGTTTTCAGTGGAGGAAAGTTGAAACTCGAACTGAGGGGGGGGGGTATGGGAGTTATTTCGTGTTGAGGACAACCTTCTGAGGAGCCGGCAGAAAAGATTCCCGAATGATTCTTATGGCGAGCAGCATGACCTTGAGCAGGCATATGTCGAGTTGGATCTTCTCTATTGATCACTGCAAAATCCTAATAGTCTCTGCGTCTCGTAGTCCGCCCCTGTTTCACCTTGTTTCAACCTCATTTACACTGTTTGGCGGAAAATCCGCTATAAAAAGCAACCAAAAGGGTTCAAGGTTTTTTTACCACTACTCTTTTTGGGTGTACTGCTTTTGTGGGTTTTGACTGCCCTACGGTCGCGTTCTCCTAACAAGCTACGACCTACTCAGGGAAGAAGGGCGGGAACACGTCCATTACACGTCATGGGAGCAAGCCGGGCCGGCAATAGGAGTGGTAAGTTTGCAAGGAATAATCAATACGCCTAGGGCGTCAGGCAGAGTTCGGTTCCGATCGGGTGATTGTGACATCCAAACGTTTCTGACGGTATCGAACTCCGGCTAAACCACCGTGACGTTCAGGAGCTTTGAAAAAATTCAGAGGCACATGGTGAGCTCCGGTTCAGCAATCCACCGTGATTTTCGGGTCCATTTATGGAAGTTCTTTCCTCCGGTCCACTGTTTCCGGTTGGGTTCAACAGAGACTTTCGATTAGCGCCGATAGCAGTCAGTTGAGTCATCAGGAAAATTCCATCCACGCCAATTATTTCCAAGTTTGAGTTTTCAAATATAGCGATTGCCGCTGTAAGTACCGATTCTTACGAGAGATCTCTTTGAGGCCACTGACAGCTTCAAATATGGATTTCTTAATTGATCGTGGTGTAATACTGATCGTCAAAAAGCCCGCCACACGAGGCCCCTCCAGACTTAATATGTTTGTATCGATCGCTCTCGTGGATACCATCTGACGTTAGTCATCGTTTTTTTTCTGCAGTATCTACCAATACAGTCCTGTTTCTTTTCTAATTGAATTTCTTTTTGTTCGGTCGTGATTGTGTGCGTTGCAGGGTAGCACGCTTACAAAAGGATAGAGTCAATTGGCTGTAAGAATAAAATCGAACCGATTGCTGTTAGGTGATTTTCGTCAACAACAGCGCTAATATCTTCTCTCGTACGAGATTCGTGAAGTGCGTCATAGCAGAGTTCGAAGTTCTGTAAGTTGAAAATTGTGTTCCGGAAAGCGATGGCCCACTTCAGTGAAGTGGAGGTGCTCCGCACACAGCAGGACGAGGAAATGCTCGACGAAAACTTAAGTGAAGCTTCTGTGACAGAATTCGACATGGCGAGAACGAATAGGCATGGTAATACCATCATTCAAGCGATCATCATTAACACCACGGTGGTATTGATGATGGTGACTTGGATGATGGGGCGCAAGTGTCCAGTGAGGAGTCAAGGATTGCGGGAGTGATAACGGATATAATCAGCAACTACTTCTGGATGATCGATTTTGTCAGCGAAGCGCATCCTGATGGTGTTAACTGCGAGTGGAGGTGACATTGGAATTAGATGTGGGCGTGTTTATTGGACAGTGAGCCGAGCCCTATGTTGCATTCAGGGTCCGAACCCGCGCAGAAGACCACAAAGAGCGTTTGCGCTGCGCTCACGGAGAACGGAGACATGATAAAGGAAAACATGTCAGGGAAAGCAGCAATCGTAGATGACATAGCCGGATGGGACACGAAAGTCTCACTGGGAATGTTACGGATGCACAGTGAATTGTGCTCTCCCTCAAGGAAGATAAGGAGCAGAAGAAGGACTTCATAAATATGTATATATCGTGTTTCTGCTTATCCCATAGATTTCACAGCGAGAGATCATGGAGAAAGAGTGGAGATGTTTCTCGCAGTCACTGGGGCAAGTGCTAGCAGCAAAGTGGATACATATGCTTCCAACACGACCATAAACATATGTGAAATGCGCAGCCACGTTACTTGGGCTGAAGACAAACCATGGAGAGAATCCACGATGTAGTGTATGAGAGTCTGACATGCAAAAAGGATGACGTTAGAATGTTGGTAAGCGGAGACGACAGTGTGTTGCCCGCTAAGGAAGCCATTTTGAGAAAAGTGGTCTACAGCTCAGATTTCACCAACATAATAGGAATCCTAAGAAAAGGAAAGAATCCAGACGAACCAAGTGAAATTCTGTGGGAAGTTAAGGATGTGGAATTCTGCTTCCATTGGCCGTGGGATTTACGTGCTACGCTGAAGAGCATGTGAATTATTTACATGCCAACCCGCAGTTACGGAGATATTTGGTGAACTGGTGGTGTGCTCGGGTCTTTTGCGAATGAGGCCAGTGCTGAAGCGTGGGCGAGAACGTGTGCGATAGATCCACTGGCAGTGTACCGGCACATGCGAGAATTGGATAATGGCTAGTGTTCTCTTGACCTGCACGCCTGAGGGGAAGATAGAGGGTTAGGTGGAGACCGACACCATAGTTGACACAAAGTAGCAATACTTAAGTGACGAATAAGGCACTGCTGCGTGGCCAAGCTGAGGTAGGATGCGCTGGGCACCCCGATGACCTCATGATGTGGTAGGAAATTCGTCAGTCAGAGCAAGTTCAAATCAAAGAAAACCTTGTTCCAAGGGCAATGAAGGTGTTCATGGTGGTCTTTCAGGGAGAAGCTATAGCATAGCTCCGCAACATGGTGCATCTGGAAAGGAATAGGAGGCGATATCGCTGTGGTAGGGAAATCTTCGAACTGTTTATTATCACGCAACCACTACGCAACTTACAAGCGAAGGCCACATCAAAAGATGAAGGAACGAAATGTAAGCAAAATAGTTTGCGAAAAAACTGCCAGTGCAGACGGTATAGGCGCGCTTGGGCTTTTTCGGTATCTAGAGAAGTATGCTCAAGACAGCAGATACACGCATTGCAGAGTGTGACAAAATACTTTCAAAGACGTCGTACCAACTGCATCAGAGGCAGTATCGCCGAAAGAGTTTGTTGCGTACTAGCTTCATCAATTGGGACGGTAGCCCGAAAGGGATTATAGAGGTCGCTCTGCCACAAGTGGATACAGCACCGTATTACAAAACAGAATCGTTTCCTGATGCTGAGCTCGCGAAGATTTCTGTCGTATTGTCGAAGCGTGTCGTGGCAGCCTCATCCCCAGCGTTGGATCTGCAGCGAGCCATCCTAAGGGCCAGGAGCGCAGAGAAGAACTTTATGTTCAGAAGCTCGCTCAAAGTATCTTATCAGCGAATATCTCAGTAATTTCGGAATTTTCTTTCATCACGTGAGAGCAGGGGATATTGTGAGAGGCTCTCAGAAGTTTGCCTTCCTTTATGTTGCTAAGAAGTTTTGGGTGGTACTGATCACAAAGTTTTAATTAATGCTGGTAAACAGCGCCAGTATATGCTCTACACTTTCTCGTTAGTTGCAAACAAGAGTATGAATTGTTTTGTCAAAAACTTTTTTGCACTAGTCTTTAGTGCAAGTCTGAAGTGGCAGTAGCCAAAAGGCAAAAAAAAGAGAGACAGGAGAAGACAAAAAGCCCCATAAGAACAGGACAGGCAGAAAGGCATGTCGAGGTAGATCGTCTCATTGATCACTGCAAAACTCGGATAGTCTAGCCGCTGGTAACGCCCGGAACCCCTTGTTTTACCCTGTCTTACTCTGTCTGGCGGGAAATGTGTTACAAAAAGCCACCAAAAGAATGTCCATGGTCTTTTTGCGACTGCTCTTGTTTGGGTGTGCTGCGCTCTTGTGTTTCAAGTACCTACTGTTCCGTATTCTCCTAATCAACACTACGATTCACTCCTACTCAGCCGAGGACAAGAGGGGCGGAAACAACTATCCAATATACAGTAAAAATTTCGGAGTGCCTGGAGAAACTTCTTCTTCATTCTCCCTCATTGCATCCTTTCTTTCGTTTTTTATTCTTTAGGTAATTCACCACTTCCTAACAATCCCTTTGGTTTTCATCAACACTACCACATCGACGAGCCTCCGGTGTTGATGAAAACAGTGGTTCGTCTGAGTGGAGGCGAGACGAACCACCATCTGTATCCAGGAGAAAGAAAAGAACTCTCCTATGTTGACGCCCATTCTCATGTCGCTCAAACGACCTCGCAAGAAAGGAAGGAGAAATCGATTTATCTAGCTTCGTTTCGCATAGTGTACTTAATGGACCTCTCTCTCACCAACCTCTTCTTTTTCAGCCCCACAGCTTCCTGTGCCTTTCTACAAAATCTTTCCACGATTTTCGCGCTTCTAGCTGTTTCTATATTCTAAACTCCTGCATTTGTTCGGCGACCATTTCGTCATGAAATATGCCTAGTTCCCAATAATTATATGACTGAAAATGTGGACTTTAGCTGGTATTGCTTTGAAGGCAGGATTAGAAAAAATCTCATTAATTATTCAAAGAACTAAAGAGAAACCAATGAGGACGACAGCCTAATTTGTGTGCTTGTTGGTCCAGCATCCAGAAGAAATCGTCTTTCAGACCTTTAGCACAACTTGAACTTAATATATTTTGTTCAATTGATGGTTTAGTCGCGGGTTGCGATATTCGAATAAACACGGGGCATGCAACGGATCGTCGTGCTGTGGTGGAGGGGTAAACGCATGTCTGGGTAAGAATATCTTCACGTCGTCGAAATCCTCATCATATGTCGCCAATGGCCAGCACTGGTCTATCCAGGTAAATAACACCACTGTTTGAATCAGTTTGATTAGCAACGGTACAGCTAAAAATCTTCGTATTCTGACAAAGTAGTCGCTCAGGGCAGACGCGTTTTTTCGGGAAAGCTATATTGTATATTATAAAGAGGCCTGCATAGAGCGTTAAACCTGTGTTTCATCCGCTGAGTGGCTTCACTGTAGCCAAGAAACAAGTGAGAGATATAAGGTGATAGTTCGATTCTCGTACAGGGGAACACAATTTTGCAGAGCGATGCAGCTCCATAAATAAGGGCTACCAACCAACCTGGATATTGAAAACGGATGTCATATTTTTTGGCTCTACTAAGGCCATTCTTCAACAATGAAGCAGGATTCTGTGTGCCATTCACAAGTTCCCAAATTTCCCAAAAAACCGTTTTAAAAACCCTTGGCTATTTCTACCACATAAAAAGCAGCCACACGCTCCTTATTACGTAGTTCTCAGCGACGCCCAGGCTTTACACTCAAACACGACGATTTTTATAGGTGAAGTAATTCTCTTCTGGTTATGTTTTGACGGAGGAGGCTTCTGAGATATTGTATAGAATATTAACGAAATATTCGAAGTTTGTAATCGAGGATAATCGTAATTTTGAACTGAAGAACATCGTACAGGGGAATGTTACCTTAGAGAGTTCACTGAGAAATGTGTCGAAGTTAGTAATTTCAAGAAAAAAGAAATGTGTCCAAATCCAGCGATTCTGTGTTATCTCTGCCAACATATTCAAAGCTACGAATTAAATTCTTTCACGGGCTGATTTCCTACACCGTGCTTTTCAGTACGGTACAGGAGCGGCTGTTGGTTTCCTCGGTGAAGACACAGTAAGATTTGGTGGCATCGGTTCAAATCAGCTCGCCGTTCCCAACACGGTGTTTGGACAAGCAACGAGTTTGCACGTTTCTTTGCGATGTGAGAGTGGCAGAACTTGAGACGTTTGAACCGTCAAGTTGAGATGAATGGATGAGTTCCCTTATCCCAGAGAAGGCTAAGACTGTTCAGCAACCTAGCGATGGCATTATCGAGGTTGGATCAGACGATTGCTGGAGATGGAAGCGGTAACACCAGTTTGAGATCAACGCCGTAGTCAGGGACTCGTTGTGACAATCGATTTACAGTTGTCTTGGAACTGTTGGAGGTAAACGGTTATTACAATCAAATTTACTTCTTATGGGTTCAAAACAAACGTATTATGCACAGTTCCACTCAACCATGAGATCTCGGTTTGGATCTGATTCGACCCCGTATATTTGTCGACATGGACACTGAGGTGGCGCTGTTCTTACTCTGACCACGTATCTTTTGATTAATGGACGGCACCAGCCAGCCATATGCATCAATCAATTAAACAGTATAAAGGCACGATATATTGATTTTTAGATTATTATATTATTTGGCGGACTAGTCGTTAAATAAATCCTGACACTTGGCAGTGTGCAGGTAAAATGTACGATTAGATGAAAGGAATCTTCTGAACTAACTTTGAAGGAATATTTCCTTTCCTTCATTCTCTAAGGCTTCCGATCTGCAAAGTTTATGAATGAACTGATAGTGGGCAAATTTCAGCACAGGACAACGTCTACGGAGGGGTGTACACCTACGGTGGCTTAGACACCACAAATTGTGGTCCTGTGCTTGCCTATCAGCCACTCTCATCTGCAACCTATTACCAGTTCAAGGTAAGTGCAAATCCTTTTCTTGAAGCCGCCATATAGTCGTTTTCGTGCAAGGGTTTTTCATAGCTTTCCTTATATTCTGTGCATTTTTCAGCTCAGCGCCGTTGCGTCGGGCACGTATTCGTCAACCAAGGGATGGCAGGCGATTTCTGACACTGGCACTCCCTGTTTGAGTGCTCCAACTTCTATAGCGTAGCGCCATCGCTAGACGCCATGGAGCCAGCAACGGTATCTTTTTATTTAACTTTCCAGTTCTTGGACGGAATATCTCGCTGCGAACGTGATATTTTCGATAAAGCAAATAGCGAGTTTGTGACGGGGGCGGGAGGAGAGACGAATGGGTTTGAATTTTTTATAACGATGGTAGTGGAGTGGACCCACTATTTGTTCCCATCTCTTCCGGACAGTTCTACTCTTTCAATGATAGTCGGGTCAATGGGGCTGCGAAATCTCTATTCCCATGCTTACCTGAAAGCTTATCAAGTAAAGATGTGCTCAATTGCCTCAATGGAGCACTCATAAAAATCGCAATCCCATCAAGTGCGGTTGAGGTGATCAGAGAATTCAGTCGCGGAAAAGAATATCGTTATAATAGTTAGCAGTTAGGTACTTGATCAGCCGGGAATAATGACTGCCTCTAACGAGTCGAAGAACCGATAGACAGGAAGGCCGTACAAAAAATGATCAAGTGATTGTACGTATCGGAAGCGCATTATGCAAGGACGCAGTGAAACTATATCGGGAAAGTGCAGACAAGAATCAAACAATTTTGCCAATCGGAAGCAAATGGTGACATGAAATTCCGGTTCCACATGTGCAGGAGGGGTCGCTGAGTATTATATCATGAGGGCACGCAGAATTAGCTTTATGGAAAGTACAAATTTTGCTTGTTTCCATGCCTTTCGGCTAGTATATAAAGCACAATATCCATCAATATAATAGAATGGGAATCCTAGTATATAATGCAGCTGAATATGTCTGTCTGTTACGACTGGGCACAAACTTCAACACACAAAAAAAACAAACAAACACAAAGACAACAAAACTGACCCTTCGAATGGGCAAAAAAATTAATGGAATATTAATCGTTGATGTATAACAAAATCATGATATTAGGACTATCCGATAAAATAAGAAGAGGGTACTAGGCGACACATCCTACAGGACGCCAGGTCACGGATATTGATGTGGGAATACACTCGTGAATATATATCTCGGAGAAGAGTAGAAAGAAAATTACTCTATAAAATAGTACAATCGAAGTGGCTAAGTGGTAGAGTAACCGCCCAAGTTGGGGGCGGATATAGGATTCATGACTACATATTCGAGCAGTACTGGGACATACATGGGACCATGAGTTCAAATGATCTGTCACAAAACAGCTCGAAAACTGCTTGAGGGGAAAAACGTGGGTATAGGTGGTGCTTTGGTAAGAAGATATGAACTTAGAGAGCCCATCCCTGGCAGATAGGCTGGAACAAAATGTTATTGTTAGTAATTAAACAGTAGTTATTTTGCTGTAGTATACATTGATGTATTTCTTGTAGCGGAGTACGTAAAAGAACTGATCAGAAGAAACAACAGGTAAGATCGTGGATAACGGTATGGGTCTAATAAAGAACGGTGATGTCCCAAATGAAAATAGTTCATAACTCGGTTAAGGGAGACGGCGACCTCAGAGCAAGAAAAGGATTAGAGAATAGGATTAATAGCAGATCAGGCGGGGATGAGAGACAGGGATGGTTAGCAATTAAACGTCTGAGAGCTACACCGGCGGATCTATGATTTTATACATTGCGTCGGAGCGGAGACCCGCGACAATGAAGATTTGGCGGGAGAGCGTGCCAGTTTGTCATCACATGGCATGCCTAGTTGACTCTTTAACGGATTGAGAAGGTTCAAAATGAGATAGATTTTCGTGCCGTACGAAAATATGATGACCTTAGTTGTGTCGAAACGTAGAGTAGATCAGTGGGGTTAGAGGTGCGTTAGTGAGTGATGAAGTGGGAGACGCTGCATTGCTGTCATGCTGATGGGTTAGCTTACAATAGAGTGAGCTTGAGCCGCGTCGATTGATTTAGCATGTTTTCTTGGTCGGAAATTACTACAGCTGTGCTAAGAGTTCGGATGACCGGTTTCTCCGGTCTTTGAGACAGTATGTGTGATTTAAGGGATCGATTCTGAGGAAGATTGAAGGTTATCAACGGTACAACCTGATATGGCGGGGTTTCTGCAGGGCGTGTGCCGAAGGTGGGCGAAGCATGTGTTAAAGTGTGAGAATACTTTCCGATCTTATAACTCTTCCAAGAAGTTCCGGAGATGGGAAAAAAGTAGAAAGAGGTTGGGGAAGAGATGATAGTCAACTGATATCGGTGGGCGAGGCATGCACCAAAGTGGGCGGGGTTTGCCACAAAGATACGTAGCTCGATTTCTACAAGACCTCATAATTCGGCTCCGAGATGACTTAGAGACCTGAAAAAATGTGTGTAGAGGTGAGAGGAGGAGTAGAGGTTGAATGTGAACGCTGGGCGTGGCACACCCGGAAGTGGGCGGAGTTTGCCACCACTCTCATAACTCGGTTCCTAGAAGTCCCGGCGACCGGGAAAAAATGTGATAAGGGTTGAGGAGGGAGTGGGGTTAAATGCTATTGTTGGGCTAAGCATGCACCAAAGTGGGCGGGGTTTGCCACAAAATTCATGACTCATAACGTCTTCTACAAGACCTCATAATTCGGCTCCGAGATGACTTAGAGACCTGAAAAAATGTGTGTGGAGGTGAGAGGAGGAGTAGAGGTTGAATGTAAGCGCTGGGCGTGGCACACTCCGAAGTGGGCGGAGTTTGCAGCCAGGCTTATAACTCGCTTGAGGTTGAGTGATAAGTGAGAACCCAAGATGTCCCGGGGAATGGGAAAAAGGTGGATAAGGGTTGACGGAGGGAATGGGGTTCGAATGCTATTGGTGGACTAAGCATGCACCAAAGTGGGCGGAGTTTGCGACGAAAATTCATAACTCGGTTCCAAGAAGTCCCGGAGACCGGGAAAAAGGTGGATAGAGGTGGGTGGAGGAGTGGAGCCCAACTGTCATTGGTGGGCGGGGTGACCAAAGTGGGCGGAGTTTGCGACGAAAATTCATAACTCGGTTCCAAGAAGTCCTGGAGACCGGGAAAAAGTGGATTGAGTTCCAACGGAAGGGAGGTCAACCGCTATTGGTGGGTGGAGCGTGCGTTGAAGTAGGCGGTGTTTGTCACGTGATATTACAGAGGTTGAAAGAGAGCCCAGAGGCTGGGAAAAGTGGATAAAGGTTGGCGAAGGAATGGGGCCAAATGCTATTTGTGGGCGCCAAGGATTTGCGGAGTTTCCCACGGTGAACTATAAAAATATCAATGGCCCTGTTTCCTATCAATGCGGTCCCGTGTGATGCACGCGAATGCGTGCGCCGCTAAACTGGTGGATGGATATTTTGCAACCGGGTATGTCTTACCTTGTGGTTGTTGTCTCTAAAGTTTTATAGAATAGTAGATGTATACTCGGAATAGTGTAATCAGTTGAAAAGCGAAAACACTATTGCGCATTCAAACTTGTTCGTAAGAGCATTTGCAAAAGAGAAATGGAACATGTTCGCGTTATAAAAGGATAAAGCATTTGCCGTTGATCAATCCCTTTTTGGGATGCGGCACGCATTCTACTTCCATTTGTACATTCGTAGTGGCGTTTGAATGCGATGTGGCCTATACAATGACTTGCGGGGGCCAGCCGATGTACAAGTCAGTGTTTTTATCCTCCCAGACAAGTCTGGTACCAATTAACCGACCCCGGAGGTGGAAGGCTTGGTTGGCCCGGGCGACTCGACTTTCATCTCCGGACCGCTCTTGTGGTAAGCATGCCACTTGCGCACTAATAATATCCGCCCTCAAATATGACATATATTAAGCATTATTCGGCAAGAATTGCTTAGTCATGGAAAGGGTCGACTAACAATAAGTCTTGAAAAATGATCATGAATATATTGGGTGGAAGCACAATATCGCTCGCGTGGTAAGCGTGCCACTTGCCGTTACACCACTTCCGCCCTGTATAGGGCATACCGCGTACAAATGTCACTACGGGTTTTAGTGAAGTAGAATGCGTAGTGCATCCTACAAAGGATTGGGTAACGCTAGAAGCATTGCGCTTCCTCGTTTCATAACTTTGTGAGGTGGAGGTGGTGAAACAAGGTTTTCCTTGATGCCATTGCGACACACTAATTAATTCAATGCTTTGGTGAACAGTGTGCTTCGCAGAAGAAGTTTCAAAAGCATTAATGAATTTAATTTCAGTATGATGCTCAAGATGAGGTGTACTACATTGATTGTAACGCTAAGCCTTCTTTGGACTTGACAATCGGTGGCAACACATACACCATCACTGCCCAGAACCTCGTCATTCCATCTGGTGACGGCCGTTGCCTCTTGGCCATCTTTGGAATGAACACCTTTGGATTCGGTCCAGCATGGATTCTCGCGATCACTTGCATATCGCAGGTATGTAACTCTATGTCGGCAAGCAAATGGTTTTCTAACTCTTAAAAATGATGCTCATTAAAAGTACGTAGGCTTGATAGAAATAAAGGATTCATGTAAATACTGATTCATAAATTTGGAACGACTAGAGCACGAGCTGACCTACAAATTAGTGAATGAATATTCAGCTAAGAAATAGACTGTACAATAACTGACTGAAGAAAGGACGAGCATTGATCGCAATAACCATAAATAAATCAGCGTAATCATCGGACAGACTAGGCTAAAGTATGTAGAATACAGAGTGATTGACATAGAAACTGCGGCTAAGGAATCGCCTTCTACAGTATGCCGCTAGTATGTGCCTGGAATCCGTATGTCAATAAGCATCAATATTTCACTGTAAAATTTACTTCGGCAATGTGTCGCGCAAACCGCCGATGTTCATGTTAATAACAGTTGCTTATGCACTCCTTCATGTTGGGGACCTAGCATTGATGGTCAGACCTTAGCCCTCTGTGAACATCTCAATCTCTCTGCAACCGCGGCAAGCTTGAGAGAAACGGAGTGAACTATAGGTTTGCTACCCTATAGCTATGGAGTTTTAACCCTTTCTCTCGCCTATTAGCGGCTTGAGAGTATGAACCGAACTTTACGACAGATCCCGTTCCAAGAATAAGAAAACTAGCCTATGAATATTCGCTTATAATTCTTAGGTAAGATACGGGTATGCCCCGAGTGGAATGGAAGAGATGGATAGACACTGAAATGCACAGAAAATGCTTTAAAGCTTCGGTTGCGAAATCTGCTCAAGCCCAAAAGGTATCTCGGCCTCAGCGAAAACCTAATGGCTATCACTAGTCAAGCTGAACAACTTGTGAACGCTGCACAACTTGTAAAATCTAAGGTTCAGTGCGGTCCATGCGTCAAGACAGCACCTTCACAAAATCAAATACATGGCACATCCTGAATTTATTACAAGCAAGACATGCGTGTGGAATTCCAGGCCGCCGTACGCCATTTTTTGCAAGTTATAGGATTAATTGATAAAGGTTCCAGTGTATTTGATTTTTCCTTTGCTTGTGAATGTTCGCCGTGCAATTTCGCTTTGTTTCTTGTTCCCATTTTCATGAGATATTCACTAATATTCAGGATATGCTTGCATTGAGTGTCAAATCATTTGGAAAGGAATCGGAGAAGGTATTGATCGACTCTGAACATTACCTTCTTCGAAGCGCTATGCACACTAATCCCAAATTTACACAGGATTATGGTGTGACTTGGAAACACATCTAGCTCGACAATGGCTCTGCGGCGCTATCGCATTAGACAAGCATTTGCGGTGACAGTGCACTTAAAACCGTGCAAAACGTGTTTTTTTTATTGAGGAGAGACTAGTGCGGTAGTAGAGAGATTCCAATGTGCGTTAGCCGTTTTTACTTTCTCCGAATCTCCTTTTCTTCCCAGGCTCAGCTCTACATAATGCCTCCATATACTGCGATAGCGCCGATTCTGCTGCAGAAGCCTAAAAGAGACCAAGAAGACATCATTATAAGACTTGAATGCCTAATTCCTTCCACTGTTACTTTCGGGCGCAAAAATCCACTCCTCGGCAATCAAAAATGTAGCTATGCTGAAACTGGACGGCGCTACGGTCGTAAGATTATCGCTAGCAAACTGGAACTCGAAGTAAAGGCTGCATGCATCAAAAAACAGCTGATTAGCCCTGGAATCATACAAAAGCTCCTAGTCCCCAAAAATTTAGCGCGTAACTCGCTTCGGAATGGAAGCACTCTTCCATGTCACACAGATCTCATGAAAATAATGACAAAACACTTGGATATGGAGAAGGCCCCAGCATTTCCTTCATTCTCTAGGAAGAGAACTTCTAAGCACTCCAATTGTTCACAGCGCTTCGTGCTCGTTGCTCCTAAAACGAGGTGACCCATAACAGATTGATAGGTACTTCACTTCACTTTCAAATGATTCTTTCGAACGCTTGTAGAAATAGACTGCTAAGTGCTTGAATAAAAAAAAGAATGAAGAATACTATATCAGTTGGTTTCTACACATCCCGTTGCAAAAATGCACACTTTTTTAGAGTAATTGGCATCTCGTCAGGTCAACACAAAACTAAAAATTGAACATATTATAGGGGTCACGACAACTCCCTTATACGTATGGTATGGAAGTGGATGAAGTGGTGTAATGGAGAGTGGAGCTCTTTTCCACAGGCGTGGTTGCGGTGGCAAATCGTATAGAAATTAACGATTCTTGTTCTGGCCGACTAATAACTTGCTCCCTTCGGAGCAGAGTCAACCCTGCGTTGCGCAGTTCGCAACAGAGATCCTCAAGCACAGTCTGTATGGCGGAGACACAGACGGACCAGAGCCATAGAGTTGGGAATGGTGGCGCGCGAGAAGAACGGGGGATGGTCGGGCTGAGGTCGAAAACTGCGGGCAACGTAGGCCGTGTGAAAAGCTGCGCACGCAAGGCGTGACTCTGCTTTTGGTGGAGGGTCGAATGAAAGCCTTATGGACCTCGTTCTTCTGCGGAGTATTCTTGGAACGGTTGGGTGTCTCCGACATATTTCATACACGCTGCTAAGCCACCTTCTGCAAAAAAAAGTACAGTTTTACACATCTGCATGAACCTAAAACGTTTACGCTACGTTTCCCCTTCGACTCTTTTTTTCAGTTTAAAACAAAGTCACCCTTCGGTCGAATGCGCTGGCTACTGGCTTTACTGGCCCTGATGGGCTACGTGTTAGGAGGCACTATTTATCAAACACCTGTACGAAAAATCGAAAGCCTACGAAAGCGGATGATCAGAGAAGGGACATGGGGCGAGTACCTGAAGAAGATGAATGCCATACGGTCTAAATCGTTACCCAATGGCGAAATTCATTCACAGAAGGTGGGTGATTCATTCAAGCTTTCTGCTACACATGTCAGCTCTCATAGAGACAGTGTGCCTTCTATTTTGCGAAACGAGAAGAGCGTCGAGTGCAGACCACACACCACAAGTGACGACGGCCAAGAAAAAATGCTTTTTTTCTTTTTCCTTGGCCGTCGTCACTTGTGGTGTGTGGTCTGCACTCGACGCTCTTCTCGTTTCCCGAAATAGAGGGTATATCATTAATGCGCACATGTGTGTCCTGTTATAGGTCAGTGCTATACGCAGGAACCACATCTGGCGGACGTGATAGTATCCGTGATGTCTGCGCCATGTGAAAATTCCTACAAAAGTCAAAAATTACGATGAATCGTTTTTAGGTTCACGATTATGCAGACAGTGAGTACCTTGGCGACATCACGATCGGAACACCTGGACAACCTTTTCTGGTAAGTTCACATTCATATGAATTCTTTACAGCTGCGTTACTGTGGAAATTATTATTGCCCAAAGGTAACAGGATGCTTGACGTAAGCCATTTGACAGAGATGAGCTAGGTTACGGCACATTTCTCATTGAAGGGAACACGGCTACAGAAGCCATTTTTCAGCTCTACAAAGGGAAGAAAAAGCTAAGGGCTTGGTTGAAAACAAAACATGCTGTTGAGAGGATTGTTCAAGAAACAAGTGGGCGTAACGCTGCTGGGGCGGAGTGCTGCGGAGGTCCTGCTCAGCAACCACAGCACCTTTCGCCGTGGAAGCGCCACACATCGCTTCCTTGGCAGCCAAGTAATTGCTCCGTGTGGCGCAGGTTCTCCCCCGATGCGAAAATTCCTTATCGTAATCGCTTCCTTTAAATGAATGACCTGCTAGCTTTCCCGAAATCATGTTGGCTATACTGTATGGATTCTTGGAGGCAAAACCCTTCATTGAAAACAAACGCTAAGGAGTACAAGTTCGGCGGAGCCGAAGTCGTCCTCACTAACGCTTGAGAGGAGATATCGAAGGAGGCTATGCTAGCCGCAGAGAGGCTAATCGGTAGCATTGAACTGGAGCAGGGTCAACCGTCCATTCCCCAAACCCAGAAATTTGACGATTCTTCAAAGTGTCCCCGGAATGCGACTCCCCTCCCTCCACACTCTCGACCACACTCATTATGGCGGTTTGATGGTTTTTTCTATATTTCTGTAGCACCAGATTCTCGAGAGCAGCCAACACACCCAGCCCGTTTTTTGCCCCCCAAGTCTCTCAACGGTCTCTACAGATTGATGCTCTCAAAAAAGAATGTGTTTGACGCAGAAGCGGCCACTTCAAAGAGCAAGGCTGCTTCTTGTTTGGTAACTTCTACCAATGTGATGGTGTTGTTGATTTAGGACTTTTCGGCCACACTTCTTTTTTGTGACTTATTTATGTTGTTACCGTAATTTTTGCCCTCCCCAGAGAAGTACATCGAAAGTGAACGACGGAACCTCCTCAATCAAATTTCGAACCAAGGTCAGGTTCCAACAGGTTTCATTTCCAAAAGGCAAATGCGTGAAAGACAAGTATGGAACAATCACCGAGTTTTTTTTTGGCGCAGCGCAATTTCGCTCCATGCTCAACAAAAATATGCAGTGGACAGCACATTTGACAAACAATACGCCGGATACCTTTAGCGCAGGCCCCAACCGGCCGGTTTGTGCGGGGCCCCCCCCCCCCCCCCCCCCCCCCCCCCCCCCCCCCCCCCCCCCCCCCCCCCCCCCCCCCCCCCCCCCCCCCCCCCCCCCCCCCCCCCCCCCCCCCCCCCCCCCCCCCCCCCCCCCCCCCCCCCCCCCCCCCCCCCCCCCCCCCCCCCCCCCCCCCCCCCCCCCCCCCCCCCCCCCCCCCCCCACACACAACACACATTTCAGCACCCCTGTAATGGTTACTGTGGGTTACTGGAACTGTTGCCAGCATCTTTCTTATTTTACCTCTCGCCTGTTCGCTGCCACCTTTCTGACTGCCTGCATTTCTTCTTTGAGGAGAAATGCTTGAAAATCCAACATGACGGCGAGACGACCCTCGCCTGATTGCCACCTCTAGAACTTCAGCTCTTCCACCTACCGTATCGTGAGTAAGCTTGCATTTTGCAGGAAAACTGAGTAGATTTCAAACGTTTACATTACAATCAAATGGTTCTAAAGGTTCTATTTTAGCTGAGATATGCGCATTCGACATCAGAGATCAATGATTAACGAAACTTCAATTCTTATCCAGTATCCTTTAATAACATATTCCTCTACCAGGTAGTCTTGGATACTGGCAGTGCGAACCTGTGGATACCTGACGTAACATGTGCTCGTTCGAACAAAGTCTGCAATCAGCCGAAATGCGCTGCTGGATGTAAGTTATGCCACTCAAAATCACCACTTTTCATAAACCATAGAAAATCTTTCCCAATTCGAGCCGTTGCCTGACCAGAAGTCGTTTTGTCCTCTAACGTCACGTCCAATGACCAAAAAAGTCGATCATTTCAAGTTACGTTATGCCGTCCGATGTAGTTCGTCCATTTTGATGAGATTGTAAAGTTTTTTTTTTGGAGATAGCCCTTCTCCTATACTGACAGCCCTCAATCTAGGCTGAAAAATATGCCTAAATATGACCGATCCTCTCTCGAAATGAGTACTCATCGAGCCTCCATTGGAAATAGTAATGACATGAAAATATGTATAATACCAGCTTATACCAGTAATTGCGGATCTACAAAAGTTATATAGCTCACATTAAATCATCAGGATCAATTTGTTGGCCCTGTGAATCGGCTCTCATTTTTTGAAAGGGAAACAACTTGGGCGGAAGCGGCGTGAACGATCCCCTCGTACTTCAGGATAGACCCGTGGAGGAAAATCACAGATGTGGCATTCGCGTGCACGGAAAGAAATTGGCAAGAGCGCTAGGGCCTTGTTGAAGTGAGCTGCGGCAGCTGCAGATTTTTTTCTTTTGTCAGGCTGTTGTCTGGCACTCTCGCGCGCTCCTCTCGCGCTTAGTCTCTCATTCCTTAGCACAGCCGATTAGGAAGGTGAGTGAGCCCTCAACCTAAGCGTTTTCGACGGATTCTTTTCCTTTTTTCTTTACTGCAGGCCCAGTACATTCAAATTCGTGTGCAGGAACCATGCCAATTTAATCCTGGAAATCCTTTGAGAGGTGGTGTGTCGAAAATTAGTCTTACGTGCAAGTCGCGACTATCGGTGTGTTGTTTCGTTCCAATTTAGGCAAGCTGTGAATAGGAAAAGCATATGGGTAAAAAAAGCAAAGGGGACCTTAATAGAATACACTGAAGACGAGGGCCTCCCTTCGTGTGAGGTTGGCCGTGGTATCGCTGCATCAAGAGGGAAAACACGACAGAGCATGTCAAACGAGAGGACGCAGACATCGAGTGGACTGTGCTGTGAGCGGGTACATCTCCTCATACATACCCGCAGGCCGAAGTGGAGCTCGTTGGGCCTGAGGCCAGAAAGCCGTGACGTTGAGGGTGTGGTACTATAAAGGGCATCAAGTAAAAATCCGACTTATGGCCTAACATACAGCCTAACATAAAAGTTTTGTACGAGTCCATTTGCCGGACCGCATCTGCCCGGAAGCTTTTTTATTTTGTTGTTTTATTACATGGCACGCATGGGATCACGTGCAATTTTTCTGGAAAGCCCGGCGAGAAATACTGCCAAGAATGTTTGCTTTTTAATGCAGCAAGTGCACGTTTCCACGCGATCTGTTTTAACGGCTCGCGGTGGGATACAAATTTTTTAATATCCGCTACAATTCATATTCTTCATAATTTTGGCCACCTTCAATGGTAGGCGAGGGGATAGGTCGATCCTTTTGTGAGATCCTTGATTTAACTTTCTCTTTTATTTTTCCTTTTTCTTTCTAATCGATTTCCTTGTGCTCTTCGGCTTCTCCTTAACAACTTCCAGAGCCATAAACACTTTTCTACTAGCCTATATAAATATTTTCAGTATTCGTTCACTATACAGATTATAGTGGTATGCAAGGTTTTCTGTCCGGAACAAGAATGTTGCAAAAGAGGGTCGAGCAGCAACAAAAAGAATGCATGCAAAGGCAAGAAATACTTTGAATCCGAGAAATCGACTTCTTACGTGAAACTCGAAAACAGGACGCAATTTTCAATTGCGGTGAGTTTTGCTTGAAAAAGACACCGTTTATTTGTTTATGACAGATGTTCATACGTCCCAACGCCATACTGGTCTGAATTTGCACAGGGGAAATGAAAGCAGCTTGTGGAAGGGTGCTAGTGGAATTGAGAAACAAAGCAATTCTGATAAAAAATTCACTAAGGTGAAGGGTTACTTAATTTATGAATGAGATCAATGACAGACAGACCTGGAGGAGAGAGGATAGGTGCATGGCGCAGCTAAGAATCGCAAGCACAAAAGACAAGCAAAATGCTACAGCCGAGCAAAAAAATTAAGTTTTTGAACGTGCAGCGGCCTTGCTTTATACTTCAGAGCCAGAATGCAACATCTGCGCCCTTCGTGAACAGCTCTATCCTACGCCACAGAGATTCATCCGCCTGAACTCATCCTGGGTTGTGCCTTTTATGTCTTCGAACTTTCGTTTCTCCACTCTTCTTTGTCGAGACCTCTGCATACGTTCACAGGAAATAGAAGCCTTGAAACCGTTAGCCCCTTCAATGTCGAAGTCACTGGTCTTGTGCTTCATAACTGGACCAGGCTCAAGCCTTATAACTCCGCCCCCCATAAAATCTCAAAAGGAATTCGATTTCAGTATGGTACCGGGAGCGCGAGAGGATTCCTTGGAAATGACACTGTGCGTTTCGGGGCTGAAAATGAAAGCCAGCTAATTGTTCCTGGTGCTGTGTTTGGTCAAGCCGAGAAAATTGCAGATTTCTTCGCTGATGTGAGTATTTCTATACATGAAAAAGTTTTCGATCAAATGCGACGCTGTTCAGTTTACCATTTTTCGACTTGTTTTTGTTTGTTAACTGCTGTTTTTGGCCGCAGTTCGCCTTGCGAATGTTTCACAAGAATGCTGGGTTGTGAACAAAACTTTCGCCCCAGACGGGACTCGAACCCGCCCATTGATTCACTCATTGCCGATATCGGCTAACCGGCTCAACACGTTACGTGTGAGTGCTGATAGTAGTATACCATGAAAAGCTGAGTTGGAATGAAATGGTGCCCCGGTAGCGTAACTGGTAGCGCACTTGCCCGGAAAGCGAGAGGTGCGGGTTCTAGTCCCGTCCTGGGGCGAAAGTTTTGTTCACAACCCAGCATTCTTGTGAAAGTCGGAGGGTGGACTGCATCAAACAAAAATCTAAGCTCATTTGTTGTTGCTGTGTGCGGGAAGCGTCGCGAACTACCAAAGTTCGAAAACAACTACGTCACATCATACGTCAAAGACTTAACCAGTTCAGGATCCAATCGATGGTATCCTGGGGTTAGCATTCCGGGGATTAGCTGTGAAAAATGTCAACCCTCCGTTTCTACGAGCTGTCGATCTTGGTATAGTGGATCCGATCTTTACAGTTCACCTGAAGCGCTTGGGAGGTAGGATTTTCGAGAGATTCATCTACGTTGAATTGTGGAGCCTAAATATTTGCAATCTTAAGAATTGGCTGACGGTTCCTATGGAGGTGTTTACACGTACGGCGGCCTTGACAAGGAAAATTGCGATGAGGTGGTAGTGTACGAGAAGCTCACGAAGCCCTTATTTTGGCAGTTTCGAGTAAGCTGATGAGTTGATTTTCTGATTAGTCCATTTGGTTCGGTATCAAACTATTCTTGCTCCAGTTGAAAGGATTCACTGCGGGAAATGTGGCTATTAAAACGGGCTGGGAAGTGATTTCCGACACCGGCACATCGTTTAATGGCATTCCCACCCCAATCGCGGACAAGATAGCTAAGGAATTCGACGCGATGGTAGGCTTTAGATAGGCTCCAGATTATTCAAAAAAGCATTCAGTCCCATGTGATCCTAAACTGACAGGAAAACTGACTCTTATTAATTCCAGTACGATTCGTACTACGATATCTACGTGATCGACTGCAATGCGCAGGTGTCATTGAGCCTGACTATCGGCGACCATGACTATGTGATTGAATCAGAAAATCTTATTACAAGAGTCGAAAACATTTGCATGCTGACGATGTTTCCCATGGATAGTGGCGGCTTCGGACCGCAGTGGATTCTCGGCGATCCGTTCATCCGTCAATACTGCAATATCCACGATGCCGGCAATAAGCGTATCGGCTTTGCAAAGTCAAAGTGATCAGCTCTGTGCACTATGGTGGAAGACTTATTGAACATGTTAGTCTTATAAATCTGTGCAGATGAATCTTAACGTTATTCTCTGCCGCCTGTGCCTGAAATACTAAGAAGAAACCTAAGATGCAAGGAAGCGGAACTCGTGATTCCCTAGGGTATCTTGAAAGTTCGTGCTCTTTGTTTTTCAACTTTTTTGAGCCTAATTACTTTTAAAACGGGAACTGCTACCACCAGCGCAGGTACCTTCACAGTCAATGACTTTCTGCCAACGAACAACCGAAGAGCGGATGGTTTACTTCAAAAAGGCCTGTAGCTGCAAGCGGAGAATGCAGTGAGGCAAATCTTAAAGTGCCTATGGAGACGGCTGAATTTTAGCGAGGTGAGGGGGCTCATGGATTGAATCATTCTCAGTGCGCGTGAGGATTCGAAGTTTACCTACGTAGTTGTTCCTCCATCTCCTTCAGTCACTCCCTTATTTTCCTATGCTCTTCAAATAGTAGCTGGTCAAACTTGGTGAGTGATGGAAATTTTTTTACATACCTACCCAGAAGCCATCAAATATGTGTGCTTATTTGCGGCCCTGAGCAATATTGGGAAGAACCAATTCCCCTTCAGATTGCTGTCAAAACGATCAAGAAATCGATTAGAGGAGAAATCGTTTACTTTGTACGTGGACTTATCAGCACAGAACATTTCCGTGTAACAGCCGAAGCGCGATAAGAAGGGGCATCACCTGCTTAAGAGAATTTCCTCGTATTCTAAGCGCATTAGAGACGCAGTGAAATGTAATATTAGAGATCAGCTGTCAGATAATGGCTGGCAAGGTCCGGTTCAGAATAATTCCAATGCACAATAGAAGAATTTAACCAATAATCGCGTTTTCTGCAGTAGCTACGTACTACTACGTAAGCTACGTATCCATCAGTAATGGCCGGACTTTTCTGCAAAAGATTTTAAAGATCTATATATAAGCGCTCATCAAGCCGCAGTATCAAAATATAAGATTACAGAGTGAATGGTATAGAAACCAGAGTTGAGTCGCCTTCTGGACTATACCGCCTGGATATGCGTGGAATCCGATTGCTAATAACTACCATTTAACACATTAATGTCCACATGGGCTGCCAACAGCATGAGCTCCTGGGACGATGGCAGCCCATATGGGCTGCCAGCTGATAATCGCTTGCCAGGCGCTAGGAATGGACAGATAGGTGGGCAAACCTCGTAATCGAGTGTAAAATGCTTTTAAATTCCTTCACGGGGAAAGTGAATGCTCTCTTTTCGTAACCACTATTTGTCGTTCTGATCGAAATCCTACTGTTATATGTTTAGATAATCTTTACGCATTGGACATTGCAGAAATTATTTTGTGACATTCATGTTTTTGTTCATTTACAAACAAAATCTGAGGTTAGGCGGCGGCGCCCACAAAATCGCGTCCGTCCCACGCGACCGAAAGTGGGGAAAGGGGCGCTTCGTGAATGTGATAAGCATTCGATTGTGACATTAGCCTTGACAGTGTGTCGCTCAATCTGGCGATGTTCATGTCAATACAGCTGACTTATGCTCCCTTCATGTTGATGTCCTAGATATTGTAGGTCGGACCGTGGTGCTGAACGCCCACCTCAAAATCGCCTTTATAAGCGAGAACCTCGTCGACAGAAACGAGTGAAGCACTATGAGGTCTATTACAGGGTGGGGCAAAATTACTGGTGCACCAATATTTTGCTGGCATTTCGAGACTAGCTTTCAGAAATCGATTCTAATCACGAATATTATTTGTAGAAAAGATGACAATTCAAAACGTATTAACAGTTCTCAAAATGATCGCCTCTAGCCTTTACACAGTTCTCTGAGCATTTGGCATACGCATGCCATGTGGCACGCAGGTATTTTTCATCAATTTTGTCCCAGGATTCCAAAAGCGCCGTCC